ACCTCGCCAAAGTTTTTTGTTTTGAGTGCGTTTCATCAATATATTGGGTATCATCAGTGTCGACACGACACTGTAGAGCAACTTGTAGTAGTGGAACACACCCAAAACAAAGAAATACCTGAGCTTATATAACATGGTTGGTAAGCCAACAGAGGCGAGATGTAAAAACATCACGTGATCCACACCGTCTAACGACGCGTCGCGACGTGGCCTTTGCCGCAATCGGTACATATATGTAGTATACTATGCAACCAAGTAGGTTCAATTATTTCTTATAAGTATTACCAGTAATGGGTCAAGAAAGTTTATTGAAGAAACTAAGAAAATTGAATGTTTAAAATATCATGAGTTACTATATTGTATATTATATTTAAATATATTGCTTATTTACCTTAAACATAAAAGTATCTTTATTTTTACTATATTTTTTATTAATGTGTAATATATTATAATATTAGATGTACACCTTACATTTGATTAAATCATATAGTAAATATTACTATTTATAGATAGTAAAATCAATTTAATATACGAACATATTAAAAATTAAAATATATATTATACATTTATGATTTAGTAATATTGGTGTTGTAATCTTAACTAAAATTGTATAATATAAAATAGTATTTTGTATTACAATCTTAATATTGTATTGACGAATATATAATATTGTTACCCTAAAAATTTGTTAAAGTAAATTTTACTATATTTTTTTACTATATAAAATTTACTATACATTTCTCTCCGTGTATATAGTTTAAAAGCCAAAATACACAATTAATAAAAAACCTTTGCAAAATTATTTTTTCTGCTGAATTAGTCCGTCGCACAATAACGCACCCGACACGACGCGTTTGTGTTGTATTGTGTGTATAGGGGATTATTTATCAACCTAAACGATGTTTTCGTTCAGAAAATCTACTTCAACCGATTACCCTTATAACATTGTATGGTATACATACGTCACGTATACGTAAATAATTGTTCAAATTTGTGTTTACATCATGAAGCGATTATTGGCGTATATTTTAATCCAATTTTTACACTGTAATGAGCGTTACACCTTTCTGTTTAAAAATTATACGAAAACACCCTTTACCCCTAAAATATTCTTTTTTCTACTCCCACCTTTAAAACGCCCTTTATCGTACATGTTTCCATGACACTAAGTGACCTTTTAAATACGCATTGACAAGTTGTGGCTTTATGGCGCTTTAGTCACGGGCTGAAGTTAGCAACAGGTTTTTAGTCACGGGCTGAAGTTAGTTTTAAGTTAGTTGACAGTTGTCAAATGTCATACAATCGTTAAAATAAATTGCCTTTCTTGTAAAATAATACTAAATGTGAAAATTATTTTATTATCTCGATACAAAAATACAAAAGCATTAAATAGTTTCTCAACGCCAACATTTGAAAAGTTTATATGAACATTGTACTGACCTTTTAATTTCGCCGGCAGTAAACTATAACTTAAATTCGGGCACGGACTCCACTGTAAAGTCCTCATAAAACATTTTCTTTACTTTCACTGTGAAAAACTATCAATTTTCAAGAAATACATTTCGATTTATAACCTTTATAATCTGTGTTTATAAAATACAAAAATGTGACATTTGACGGTGATACCCCTATTGTTTCATAGATGGTGCTCTATACAAATTTTTGATTTAAATCATTTTAAGATAATAATAAGTATTTGTCGTAGAAAAAGTATAGTATGCACCTCGTTTATAAACTTTTCTATACACTCATTAATTTAAGCACTAATATACCATTATCTATTTTGCGTTCATAATGACTTCATTATAACACTGCTTTCGATGCTATAGGTTTATACTGCATAATATTTTGCATATATTTTTATGATTTTCCGGGCAATAAATTTTGTTTAACACCAAAGAAAATCCTTTTTTTCTTCTTTAACATTAACAGCCGCTTATTGTAAATAAGTAAATTAAGGACGGCATGGCGAATCGATTTTGACATTAACTGTCAAACCAATGACTGTGATACCAACTATCTAAAGTAAAACTCGACCAAATTAAATTTAAGGTATAAAATTAATTTTTTTATAGAATTTTGCAAAATAGATAAAATAGCATAAAGAACTCATGTCATAGGACCTTTTGTCGCACTCGTGCGACAAAATGACGTCTTATGGCATTAGTTCTTTAATATACTATTTTTAAATTTTAGCAAAATGTTTTTTTAAACCAAAATAAGTAGTAAAAAGTATGAAGGTACAAAAAATGCATTTTCCTAATAGCCCAAAGACGTGCATAGATATACCCAGTATAAAGGTAAAATATCAACTTATATGCATGTAGATATATTTTCCGCGTGGATTTGAGGAATTCGAGTGAAATGTTTGTGGCGTATGAGGCGCGATGCACATACTGCCGTATTATATTACCCAATAAATTTAGCGCGAGAAATGCAACACTGTATGGCGCTGTTGGAAATGTAATTTTCGACTAGAGAGTTGCGAGACGCCTTAAGACTTCAAGCAGCGAAAAGTCATCTTTATTAGATGACGAATGCAATTTGCTTACATGCAAAAAGAGGTTTGTCGCGAAATGCAAATTATATTAAGTCAAAACAGGGAAAACAAGTTTGGTGAAAATGATTTCTATAGTCGCATATTTTCTTTGTAATTCGTCTTGTTTTAATATGAGAGTATAAGGACATCATAATGGATCTTCTTAGGTCTATTGTAGACACATCAATTGATCCCGAGGGTCAACTGGCGAGTCACCAAGCTCGTCCGCCCAATTAGAATATTTATTTTTGCCTCTCTGACTCAACTTCTGTACGTCCCATGCAGAGTTAATTTTTAGTTTATCAAGGTTTCGGAGAATTAACATCTTGTTCCAATTTAGAAGGTGAATGAATAAAGACAAAGTCATTGTTTAAACTTGTCGGAACTTGTCGTACAATCATAATTCATATTATATGTGACCTGGACTATATAAAGGTACACAGAAAAAAATCTAACATATATGTACTATAGTACCAAGAACAGCGCTGTCATTGAATGCATTAAAATTGAAGCAATCTAAATTGTTATTTGCTCAATTAATTACTATTTAACCAAAATAGGGAAACATTTTGCCTAAATGTCAAAGAATTTATTGCGTTAAATGTATACATAGTATTTATACTATAGTAACGTTAATAAATAAATCAAATTAGTATTTAATGCAATAACATTCTAACAAATAAATATCAATAGATTTAAAAGCGATAACTTTTGTTGTTAATTTAAAAACAGTAAACGATTAAAACCCAAGTGCTAACTACCTATTGATATTATAGGAACTGTTATTCAGGAATACGGATTACAAGATCCCATTGGTTTAATGGCTCACCCATTCATGCTATGCTAGCGTTTTTTCTGTGTACCTATGGTCGGAAGAATCAATTTTTGTTTTTTGATCGAAATTTATAAAAAATTTAACGCTTTTTTTAATGGAACATACCGCAGACTCCTAAGTTTGAAACTTTTGCTGGAAATCATCCTTAAAGTTCAACATGAATTATAAAAATCGCGAAAAAAGCTATAAATAGATCAAGAATTGATTTTTTTGATCTTTTATTTTCGTCAATATCCTGAAGAGACATATCGAAAGACGAATCTGGTACAACATCATCTTCTATGTCACTAACACCTGCACCTCCACCTTGATCTTCGTAATCTTCATCACAATCCGCAAAACATTGTTTCTCCACTGCTTTAAATTCTTTTTCTAAATCCATTATGCACTTTCACAAACTAAAACAACTTTAAATTAGCTGCATAACAACGAAAAACCACGATCTCGAAAATACAATGATAAGAAAAGCAGCACGTATTATTCCAACTTTCCAACGTTCACAAAATTAGCTATTTAGGGGAAATCACTTGAATAAGGTAAAAAAATATTTATTGTAAAAGCACCACTGTATAATGGAAGTCTAAAGAGAGGTGGAGAGCCAAGGGTAAGGCGAAAAAAGAAAAGGTAGAAGCGTAAATACAAACGCGATGCACGGACTGTACTTGTTATCTTTAACAGCTGTTTTCTCGAAATCTTGATTTATAACCATAGGTAGCTTTCCGTAGTCCAGGTCACATATGTAATTCAAAAACAAAACTTTTTTAGATCTTTTAAAATTTAACTTAATAGATATAACAAAACATAGAGCATATTTCTCGTACATAAAAACAAAACAAAATACAAAAATAAGTCAAATAACTATTTTAAACTTTTTCTCTCAATATTTGTAGACGTCTAGTGATACTGTCCACTTCATGGTTGGTTCCTTCAGTTAATTTTTGTTTTTTGTTTTCCAGAACCTTAATTTCCGTTATCAAGCAATTTTTCACAATTACGAGGAAGATTTGTAATGTTACTTTGACTTTTGTCAAAGACAAACTGACAGTTACACGATGGGGTAGTTACATTAAAATTGCCCAAGCATTTCATTTATATCAAATCATAATGTAGATTGTGTAGGTATTAAGTAAATATTATTTTCTTTTATATTATTATTATTATTTTAAGTATTAGTATTATTTACAGATAATTTCATGACTTTTTCCTGACTTTTCGTTTTTTCTTTAAATTCCCTGACTTTTCCATGACTTTGTAGACTCATTTTATATTCCCTGACTTTTCCCGGATTTCCCGGTTTTCCCGGTTTTCCCGGTTGCTACGAACCCTAAGTGGTAAATTTGGTATTTTAATTTACAGAGTATACCATTTCGTATAACATTGTCCCTGTTGTAGTTAGTCAAAGTCACTTTACTACTACAAAAGTAAAATAAAAGTGAGATAATTTTTTTCAGTGGAGTAGAGTAACCGTTTTGTATTACACAGTCTATTATAGGCAGTTACTTTTTTATAAGACCAAATCAAAACAACCCTGACACGTTACCGTTATCTCTTCGCCGATGACTAATTCATCATTGAAAAAGTTTAAAGAGTTTCAAGACATGCTTCATAATAAAATTATTTTTAACATTACTTTCTTCTAGTATTACCTTGACTATCGATGGAGAAAATCCCGATCCCGTCCCCGCCACGTATAGAGTACTCAACATTGCTGTCCCCTCCAGGCGGATCACCATCGCTGGCGTTCACCCTTAGCACAAAACTCCCAACGGGTTTGTTCTCACTCACCCTCCCAACCAGCACAAAATCACTGAACAACGGCGCGTGCAAATTTTCGTTAACGTCCACCACATTCACCGTGACACTCGCCTCGGAAGACAAACTGGGACTGCCCTTGTCGTTCGCGAACACCAACAAGCTGTGCACCTGCCTCTCCTCGAAGTCCAAGGCCTTCGTGGTCCTAATGGTGCCGGAAAATTTGTCTATTTTGAACGTACCGTCGCTTTCGCTGTCTTCTAGTGTGTAGATAACCTCCCCCTCCACACCCAGATCCGGGTCCGATGCAGTTACCACAGCCACCACACTTCCTTTGGGTATATCTTCGCGGATTTTGACGCTGTAGTTGGGTAGGCTGAATTTAGGCGCGTTATCGTTAATGTCGTCCACTGATATACGCACTAAGGCTTCGGAATATAAAGGGGGGTAGTCAGGGTTCTTACCACCACCGTCGCTAGCACGTATTCTCAATTCGTATGTATCGTGTCTTTCGCGATCCAAATTGTTCGAAACTCTTAATTCGCCTGTGGTTTTATCAACAGAGAAATCTTTGGTATCGCTAGCCAAAGAGTAGGTGACTTTAGCGTTATCACCCTCGTCCAAATCTGTAGCGTTGGCTCTGAAAATCACAGTGCCATTCATCGCGTTCTCCGTTACCCGAAAACTCGCCAAATTCTTCTCGAACTTTGGCGCGTTATCGTTTACATCGAGCACTGTAACAGGCAGAACTCTGGATGCGGATTTTTGCGGCTTACCCAGATCGTACACGCTGACGTTGAGGAAATACTCGTACTCCTTTTCGCGGTCCAAATACCCTATGATTTTTAACTCCCCCGATTCCATGTCCAGGCAAAACTGCGAGTGCTTGTCTCCACCGGAGATCCCGAACACCAACTTCCCGTTGTACCCCAAGTCTCTATCTCTAGCGCGCAGTTTCACCAATGTGGTCCCCAACGGTATACTCTCGTTGACTTTGATTTCAACGGGGAAGTCAACGAATTCTGGAGAGTGGACGTTTTGTCCATACCTGGTTGGCATCATGGGAAACTCCTCTTGCACGTGGATTTTGTTGTTGTTTTCCGCATCAGCCAGCACCTCTGTTAATCGTCTAGCGACTCCGGTATCTTTACACTCGAATGCACCCAAATCATCGGCCAATAATTTACCGCTGGTGATGCCGTTTTTCTTGGCGTTCACAAGCTTCACGTGCACCTTGGCTATGTCAGCGAAATGCGTTCCGTCTGTAGCTGTCACGTTTAACTCTCTATCCGACACCCTTAGATCGTTCAGATCGCAACTCACCGTTATAGTCCCCGATGTAGCTTCAATGCTGAAGCAGTTGTCTTCGTTCCCCGAAACGATTCTATAGCTTATGATGTTCCCCGAGTCAAAATCAATGGCGGAGAGAGTTATTATCTCCGAACCTATGGGGATATAACGCGGCACGTGCCCAATACAGTCGATTTTTTCGAATTGAGGTCGATTATCGTTGATATCCCGCACTTTCACCGTCAACTGCATCTCAGTTTGTCGTCTATACGGCAAACCCCAATCGGAAGCTCTCAACCGCAAGATGTACTCGCGTTTCATGCTCTCGTAGTCCAGTAATGAGGTGGTTTTAATGAGCCCCGAGAAGTGATCAATTTCGAACGGTACTTTGTTCAAGTTCGCTATCAAGTAGGAGATGTAAGCGTTCTCACCTCTGTCTCTATCACGCGCGTGCACCATGGTAACCGAGGTACCGGCCGGCATGTTCTCGTCTATGTACACCGTCACTTCCGACTTGTCGAATATCGGGTCGTTATCGTTCGTATCCTCCACGTATATTTTGACTTTCGCTGATGATTGTTTTCTTGTACCCACGTTACCTTGGTCGATAGCGGACACCGTTAAGCTGTAAAACTGCTTGCTCTCCGCGTCGAGAAGTTTGTTGGTGTACAACATCCCAGTCTCGGGGTTCAAATTGAACTCGTACCCCTCGTTTCCGCCTACGATCTCCAAAAAAACCTGAGCGTTTGTGCCTTCGTCTGCATCGCTGACTTTAAGCCGTATCAGAGGGGTGTTTATAGGGGCGGTTTCCGGTACTTTAACGTCATACACCTCCTTGTTGAACACTGGAGCGTTATCGTTGAGATCTGTAAGCTGCACTGGAACGCTTTTGTACGTCTCTTTAGCCGGGGTACCTCTATCCACAGCCCTCAACGTGAGAGTGTACCCTAGAGGTGTGGACTCTCTATCCAGCAATTTCAGAACTTCAATGTTGAACTCGCCGAGTTGTTTTGTAGGTCTTATTCGGAAATGACCGTCCGGGTCCCCATCCACTATGTCTAGACTTGCTATTTCGCCATGTATACCTTGATCGCGATCCGACACGTTCACAATCGCGTATATATCCGCGTTGGAGTTTTCTACGATTTGCGGGAGGCGTCTGATTCGAATCTCGGGCGGGTAGAAGTTGACTTTCTTCACTTTTATGCGTACTTTAGCTTTGCTCAGCATCCCAGTGCTTTTTTGATGGAATAAGGCGCCACGGTCTTGTCCTAACACGGTGAGTTCATGGTAGGTACCTTCGTTGAACCGTAAAGGTTTACTTAAAGAAATTTCGCCGGTTTTTGGGTGTATAGCAAACTGTTCCGTCTCCTCCAGGAAGCTGTAGTATATTTCGCCGTTTTTCCCCAAATCTGCGTCTTCTGCATTCACCCGTAGAATGCTTTGATGTAGAGGGGTGTCTTCGTACACTGTTGCGTTATATTCCGTGGGGTAAAACAGAGGGTTTAAATCGTTCGTATCCAACACCGTAACAACAACAGTTGTGTCGGTGGAATACGTAAACTTCTGAAGGCTTTCTCTTACAGCCGCCGTAGCCCTCACTTGCAGTATATACTTATCCTTCCTCTCGCGATTCAAAACGTCGTTGTTGCCCGTCTTAATTCGTATAAAAAGAAAGCAAAAATCCCCCACCAATCGATGCTCGGTCTTGAAAAACTTGTCCTTATCGCCTTCGACGATTCTGTAGCGGACGTCGTGAAACCCCGCGCTCGGCAGGCGCACCCCCATCAGTTCGGCGCCCGGGGGCTGAGTCGCGTACGTCTTGGCAACGCTGTTCTCCGGTATGGTGACGTTGTACAGCGACTTGGCGAAGCGGAAGTCCGATTCCGCGGCGTTTCCGGTCGAGTCGCGCAGGTTCAGCAGTAGTATCAGTACGGCCGACGCCTGGGTAAACCGGGCAACAGCGCTCAGTGTCATTTCAGCTCATCACGGTCGGCTCTGGAAAGAAGAAGAAAGTGAGGTTAGTGGTTGTTATATGTTATATAAATATTTGATGTTTGGGTTTATAGGAGTTATTTATACCCTTATAAAACCATATTTACTTAAGGCACCCTTAAGGGCTATTTAGCTTTGTGGCAGTTTAAGGGTTCTTAGAAAGTATGTTCTAAATTTCCGTGGGAATCTGTCCTAAGACTGTTTGCTTGCGCTGTGACTTTTTACAGCCAATACTTTAATCTGCTTTATTATTATTATTATTATTATTATATATATATATTATTATTATTATTTAAATCCTATCTGTCCAACTGAAAACAAAGGGTAAAAATATCATCGGAGTTATATTCCAACACAGTGGAGTTAAAAAAAAGGAGTTCCTCAGGGCTCAATTCTTGGCCCACTTTTATTTATTTTGTATGTAAATGATTTGCCCCAATGCCACGACAATATTTTTATGTATGCAGATGATACTACTTCAATTTTTAAATCCTCTACTAAAAATGATCTAATAACTAATATTAATTTAACACAAAAAAATATATTTCAATGGTTTCAAAATAATGGCCTTAAGTTAAATGTTGACAAAACACAGTACATAAAATTTGGAGAGTATGGGTTTACCAATAACAATATTAATATTAACAATAAATGTACCAACAAGTTGAGTAGGTACTTCAATTAAATTTTTGGGTGTTATTTTTGACAACAAATTTTTATGCAAGGAACAAACAGATAGTGTTTTAAAAAAAATCAATAAGTATCTATACTTAATCCTTAATCTAAGATTTGTTGTTTCAAGAGTGACACTCTTAAATGTGTATTATGCATTTGTTTATTTCAATTTAAAATATGGCATAATTTTTTGGGGTAATTCATCCCAAACAAGAAATCTATTCATTTTTCAGAAAAAATTATTAGAATTACTTTTAAGTTGGAATTTAATGAATCATGCAAGAAAACGTTTGTAAAAAAATAACCTACTAACACTACCAGATCTTTATATTTTTGAAACTTTAATGTTTTACAAAAAAAACAGTTTTATGTTTTACAATACTAGTAGACAACATTCCTACTTCACTAGAAATAAAGATTAAGTGTTAATTAATCAAACAAGGACCCACACCGTTTACAGGAGTATTCAAAACTTGCCAAAAACAATAAAATACCTTAGTTTTAGGGAATTAAAACCTTGCTTAAGAGCATACCTTGTAAACAGATGTGATTACTGCGTTGATGATTTTTTTAACTAAATGTTTTTCTTGTATTTGTTTATTTGTACCAAATTTTCTTATATTTGTTTGTTAGTATATTGTTAATCTTGAATATCTTTATTTGAAATAACAAAGTTGATGTCGCTTCCGGTTAAACCGGAAGATGTATTTTGTTCAAAATATTAAAAAAAAGACTTAATGGATTATAAACGCTTTTAAATTTCAAATCTATATTTTTTTCGTTCTCCAGAAACTTCCAATGGACCACGATAGTGAAACACTACCCTGTATATCAAGTGGTGTTTTTAGGTTGTGATACCACTATAGTTTTTTTTTTTATTTATTTTATTTTTATTTTATTATTTTTAATGTGCTTTCAACAGGCACCAGGCCCAATTACAGAAGTACACAATGACAAACACAAATAAACAACCATACCCCTGGTGGGATTCGAACCCACGACCTCTCGGCTTGTAGTCCGCAGTGCTAACTACTACACCACCGAGGGCGGTTAAAAAGCAATGTATAATCGTCAAACTAAAAGATCAAGATTTGTTTCCAACATATATTTAATATATGATAAATTCAAATCTGTTGTTTTATTTAAAAAAATCAAAAATTAAAACCAGAAATATTTTTTTACTTCAAAAAATAAAATTGTTATTTTCTTTAAGTGTAATATTTGTATTATGTAAAAACATAAAATATTTAAAGAAAAAAATGATTACTACCATTTAGCTTTATGGCGGTATCATAGGAGGATTTATAAAAGCTGTGACCTCATTAAAGCAATAACAATAAAACCTTTAGGTTTTATTACCGATGCAAAAATAGGTTTAGCCCAAAACGAGTAAAAAACCATACGGTAACAAAGAACACAAGATAAAGATCAAACAAACATCTTTAAATAATTCAGCATTCAAGTCATTGTGTTAAAATAACGTGCATTAACGACGGAACGGTACATTAGTATTAGTTTTCCGAGAAGAAACATTATTCCTAGCAAATATAATGTAAACCTACGTGTTATTTAAACTTAAGTATGTTATACGCTTATCTCCGTACAGCAAGCTCAATGCACATCTGATAACGAAAAATTCCTATGCAGCGCACATGCTTAATTAACATATTTTAGAAAAAAAATCTGGCGCCAGTAAATTCTGCAAAATAGAGGATTTAAGTAAAACAACCGTCATTAATTTTACAGTTCAATATTTGGATATACAGACTGTATAGAATCAAGTAAGTAAAGTAAGGCTGGATTATATTCTGATCAGAGAAAAAAAACCAAGCCATTCGTAATTCCGAACCATAGTTGCCAGGTTGTTTTAAATTAGAAGAGAACGATTATAATTATTTAATAAATAGTTCAATTTTATTTCTTTGAAACTTTAAAAATAACAAAAAAATAATAATATTTCAAAAATAATTTGATTTAGTTAATTTTCTTACTTTTAATAATAAAAAATAAGAAAAACAACCCTTTTAGGAAAAAAATAATAGCATATGGCAACAGCGCGGCATGCAGCCAGATACAAGGGCATGCAGTTTGATCTACTGTGTTTGTTCAGTAGTTCCGACGCTGTCGTAGGGAAATGTGTATAGTTTTTAAGAAATACATTTTCGCCATTAACTGGAATTTAATGGATTTTAAACGATACTTGGTTTTTATTTGCAGAAATGCATTAAAACAAAACAAACGAATTTGATAAAAATAAAACCTATAAATTCTCAAAAGTGTATCTATTCGTTTTAATACACACTGTATTAGGGTGATTCATTTCCGCAAAGTTTTTGTTTTTTTTCGGTGCTCAAGCAAAATATTAATCTGCATAAAGGAAAAAACATTCTCACCAAGTTTGAGCTCTTAATATTAATTTTAAGCACTTACTATTTAAATTTAAAGTTTTACCGTTTAAAATGCATGTAAAAAATATATATTTTTTTCAAATTTCTAATGCTTACCCACCTTTGACAATATTGCAAATCGGTTTAATACACCTTATGGGGAATTTCACGCTCTTTAAAATTGCTTTTTTTTTGTAACTCGCATTGGTTCACCAGTAGGAGTCGTCAAAGAACAGTTTTTGAAAAAAATCGTTTTTTTTTTATTTTTTTGAGCAAATCGCCAAAAGTAGTGAGAAAAAAGGGCTGATTCATAAAAAAAAGTTATCCAACCAATGAATGAATTTACTGCCATTTTTATAACTGAAAACGAAAGAAATTGATAAATACCAACCCATAATGTTATTTAGATTGATTTTTTCTATTTATTATCATTATATTTCCCTACACTAAGAACTTTTTTAAAATTATTATGATTTCTCACTCATAATGAATATGAAAACAACACATAAATTCATAAAAAAACAACAAAACTTTAATCGGAATATACAGAAGGTTATGTAACATATTTCAAATTTCGCTTCAAAAAATTAAATAATCTTCATTTATATTTTTTTGCTATATGACAGAAATGTTGAAAAATTGCAAAATCCACGTTACAATTTTCTTATTGTTTTTTATTAATTTATCTGTTGTTTTCATATTCATTATAAGTGAGAAATCAATAATTTTAAAAAACTTCTTAGTGTAGGGAAATATAATGATAATAAATAGAAAAAATCAATCTAAATAACATTATGAGTTGGTAATTATCAATTTCTTACGTTTTCAGTTATAAAAATGGCTGTAAATTCATTAAATATTGGTTGGATAACTTTTTTTTATGATTCAGCCCTTTTATCTCCCTACTTTTTGCGGTTTGTTAGAAAAAATTTAAAAAAAAACGGATTTTTTTCAAAAACTGTCCTTTGACGACTCCTACTGGTGAACCAATGCGAGTTAAAAAAAAAACTCAAAAGCAATTTTAAAGAGCGTGAAATTCCCCATAAGGTGTATTAAACCGATTTGCAATATTGTCAAAGGTGGGTAAGCATTAGAAATTTGAAAAAAAAAATATATTTTTTACATGCATTTTAAACGGTAAAACTTTAAATTTAAATAGTAAGTGCTTAAAATTAATATTAAGAGCTCAAACTTGGTGAGAATGTTTTTTCCTATATGCAGATTAATATTTTGCTTGAGCACCGAAGAAAACAAAAACTTTGCGGAAATGAATCACCCTAATAATCATTACTTGATTAATATGAGTGAAGTTCACAGGTGGCAATAAATTCAGCCAAGTACACAATGTATCCGTTCGCATTGAAAATCAAAGTTACCCTGGTGTCTGATTAATTAGTTAATTAATCAGCAGAGGCCGGGTAATGGCCGATCATAATTTATCTTTACACAAGATATGCTTGTTAATGACTTTGGTTAACAATGACAATATGTGATGGCGCGCAGAGCAATGGTCACCTGTATTTAATGTTACCCCCGATGACAGCAATAATGTATACGTATAATGGATACTTTGGAATGCAAATTCCATGTGCTGTTCCCTGCCAATTCGCTCAAGACTGGGTGTGCTACATAATATGTCCATCAGGACTCATTAGACTTTCATGAGCTTTACTTAGCAATTAAATTAAAGCTTTTTTCCACCCCATTTGGTTGCTTAAACAATGTAAAGCTTTTAAAGTGGTGGAATGTAGAAGTTATACGTTTAACATGTGGAATATTCGATTTTTTGTCAATCAATCAAGTTTTTGAGTATAGTTGAAATCTAATTGACCGATTTGGTCAAACAAGCCCTTAAATTGAAGGTATTTGAGCCTTCTAAAACTTTCTTTTACAACTTTCTTTTACATACGTTTGATATCG